TTGGCATCAAGTTTGGTATAATATGGTCTGCATTGGGAGGTTAAAAGCCTGATTAGATGATGAGGCTCAGAGGGTCATGTTTCCTGGTTGGACTTGTGGTGAGTGGGGTGTCCACAGGTATCTGGAACCTGTCCTGTGCAATGGCTTAACCAGTAGAGGAGTGTGTTCTCACCAAGTTTTCAGATGACACCAAGCTGGGGGGACCAGGTGATATAGTGACATGTAGGACAGCCACCCACAGGAAATAAGACAGTCTGGAGGCATAACAGGAACCTTGCAAAAACCAGGACAAATGCCAAATCTTGCACATGTGAAGGAAGAAGGCCCTGCAGTGATGTAGRTCAGGGGCTGCCTGGATGGGGAGTGACTCTGGAAAGGAAACTCTAGAGCCTGGGTACTGGAGGCCAAAGTTCAGGACTTACTAAGCCTGGTGAAATGATGGCTGTGGAGGGGACACAATAACCCAAGGGCAGCGACCCAGCACTCATGGAGAGGTGGCAGGAGATGGAAATGWACTCTTCTCAGTGATTCTTGGTGGGAGGATGAATGACAATCATCTTTAGCTGAAACAAGAGATCAATTACAAGGAAAATTCATTCTCTGCTGAGACAGTCAGGCAGCAGCACAGGCTGCCCAGAGATGTTGTGCATCTCCATCCTTGGAAGTTTTCAAAATCATGTGAAATAAACTCCTAAGCAACCTGTTGTAACCTTATGACTGACCCTGCCTTGAGCAGGGGGTTGGACACAGATCTCCTGAGGTTGTTTCCTACCTGAGTTATCCTGTGGTCCTAAAATAGCTTCTGATAATGAACAATAGCCTGTGACCATATGGTTTGTTTCTGTATATACAGGTCCTGTATTAGCTTAGAGTGGCAGATGCAATTTGCAGCTCCCAAGTGTTTTTTGGAAGTGGTCTAAGACCTCAGACGTGTGTGTTGATTGGGTGGTCTGGAACACAGGAAGTGTATAATCACCCAAAGAATGAGATTTTGAAATAAATTTCCAAATGTATTTCTTTCCCCTRTGTTATCTAAAAGCCATAAATTTTAGTGTTAATTGGGTTTTTTGCTCTCCCTTYTGCCTCTCTGGTGGTGGGGAGGGAATGTTACTGTGTGTTTTTGGCTTTCAGTCAAGTTCAGACTACGACAGTTTTGGTGCCGAAACCCGGGATTAGGGAAAAACAGGTTTAAACCCACGACAACACTTCATAYTGTGAAATCAAAACAATCTTTTACCAGTTCTAAGTTACTAGAGTTTGTAGCTGTGAGGCTTGATAACCATGATAATAAATGGTATTTACATTCTAGTGCAAAATGGATGTCAGCCCCAAAATGCACAAATGTGGACAAACCTAATTAAGCYGTGATTGGTTTATTCATATCACAGCAGCTGAAGACTGTATGATAAACAGCCTCAAAGCAGGTGCAGCATATGTCATTGGCTTGATTATTAAAAATTGACATTTTATTCAAGCCCAAATTAAAAAAAGGAGATTGTATACAAATTCAGAGAAATCCAGTCATGCTATAATGGTATTGCATYGCAACAAAACCCTAACTTTCTTCATGAAGTAATTGCATAGTTCCAGTTTGTCATGATAAATCAAGCCTGAACCCAAGCCCAGGAAAATCTAAAAAAAGTCAAAGTGCTCTTCATGATGCATGGTCCAGGATATAACCTTGAGACAGTCAAATGTGGAATATAACACATATATTTATAGCCAAGTCACAGAAACTTTTTATAGCCAACCACAGTTTCAGTGGAGGGAAAGSCATGTTTCCACACTAATACGCTGCACAAAGGCAGCATTTTTCTATTGAGATACACCTGCTGAAGATCTGACTGGAGTCAGGGGAGCCACAGTCAAAGTTGAGTTTATATCTCCTTCAGTTTTCATAAAGCAGCAATCCACAACCCTAACAGGTACATTTCATACTTACCATGAGGATATATGGAGTGCTGCTGACTTCCCACAGCAGGTTTGGGTATGGTCCTGAGTGCTCAGAGAAGRGATGAGCCTTAAAACCTGGAATCTGGAGGGAAGAGCTCCACGTCCCACTGCTGCTGGTGCTACTGGAAGAGTGTGTGGGGAGGCAAATCCCCACAGCATGGCTGGTGTGCTCCCCAGCAGAAATGCAGTCAGATGAGACGGAGCTATTATGGGCTAATCTGAGRGCGGGAAGGTACAATTTTGTTTTCACTGCACAGTACCATAAAGCAAATAAATAGTGCTTAGCCTATAATGAAACTTGATAAAATTCAGTTGAGTGATATCAGGATTGATCACTGTAAGCTGACATTGCTATTTCCACATACCTCTGAAAATCTGCCCAGTGCAATGCACAGAGCAACGGCATGATGCCAGATTTGTTCAGCTCTAAATGTTACTAACCACCAGAACTGCAACTGGAACATACATGGTAACTTAAACACACAAAAGAAATATCATATTGGGAAAACAGCACCAGAAAAACAAATTTGAAAGGGAATAACATTAGTTAATGTTATGACTGAAAACCTCTTACAAGTTGCCACGAGATAAGTTCACATTGCTTTACATAAAGAAAATAAAGAATTGATTTTTAAAGTTTCTTATGTGCAATGCCAGTGTATTGTGCAGAGAATGCTGCCTGGCAGGTATTTGATCAGAGTTACTGGTATTAAGGAAATAAAGGCTTATTTCAGCTGCCTAACCTGGAATATAAAGTTCTGTGTGAAATTCTGAGTCTGTAGCAGCCAAGACAAAATGAGGAAGGTCTTGGTGAAATCCTTCAGGACACCTGACAGCAGCAGGCAAAAATGTGGAATATGCCAGAATGCCTCCAGTGGCAGTAGATGTCTATCCTCAGGGAATGTAACTGAACTCCAAACAAGTGTGTGTTTTATGGAGTAAAAGTGTACAGCAAGGTTATAAAGTCATGGTTATTTCTGCGCATTTCTCCAGTGGTGACTTGGGAAGGGGCTGTTTAAACTACTGGCATGACCATGCATTGCAAGTATTGATCAAGAAAAATTTATTTACAGAGATTTTTCAAATACAAACATAAAATAGCACATATTATATATATATATWTTACAAAAATGAATATTGAAATMATAAACATGRTACMGCACAATACCACATCAATGAGCTAAACATAACAGCAACAGAAATCTATGTCTGGAAGAAGTTTGCTGTCAGTTGTACGTAACCAACAGAGCTCTGCAGTACTGTGAGTGGAGTTTTCAATGGACAGAAAAACGTCCATTTACTGCATTTCATAAAAGTACTATAGGAAGGGTACATATGCCAAGTAATTATGTTGCATTTTGTAATAATGCTGAAAACACAGAGGCTTAATAAAAATTACATAGGGCTGAATAAGCAGTGGATAAATGTTTGGGGAAGAAAAATGTGTAGAGATTATACAAAATACTGATAAAGTGGTATTGGTCCTTTTATTAAGTTTAATGTATAGATTAAAAAGTGTTGCAACACCGAGTCTTAAACCACCAGAGAGAAGTTAAAAAAGAAAAAGGGGGAGGGGAAGAAAAAAATAAAGGCAGAAAAAGAAGAATCGCACCAAAAAAGTTTCCTCTCTACTTATTTTGTGCCATGGTCAACATCTGTGTGTGTGCGTGTGTGCTTTCAGGTGTGCCGCGCCGAGGGGCTGCTGGGTGCTTCCCAGCACGGGGGCACTGCCGCCCCTCACCAGCCCACCCAGTAATTGGTGCATGCAGAATTTCACCATTTGCCAAAGCAGAGTTTTCCTTGCTTATATTTTTGTGGAGCAGACCCTGAGCAGGCTCGGGTGAGAGTGCCTGTCTCTGCCCAGCCCAGCCGGGTGGCTTCAAGCTGCCCTTCAGCCCCCTGCCACCCTGGGTCCACCTGTCATCCTGCTCCAGAGAGRAAGCACTTCAAAATTCCTTGTTCCGTTGTTGTTGTCCAGCAGACCCGGACGAGCTGGCACGGTGGTGCCTGGGCTGGCTCAGTAGGGGTACTGCTTCTGCTTCTTGCCCGAGAAGCAGGCCAGCCAGGTGCACACCAGCATGGCAGCCGCCGCACCGCCGCCCGTGCAGTAGTAGGCCCAGCCGATGTGGCAGGTCCCTGCAAGGTAAACAGCAGGACACGGGTCAGCGAGACACAGGGGCAAGGATGTGACAGCGCCGCCACCCTCCCTGCTACCCGCCCGGGAAAACACTGCTCTGAGATTTCGGCCCCCTTGTACGCCCACCTCAGATGGGGAACATGGGGCATTGTTCAGGCTCTGCAGCTGCAGCGATGGGGTTTGGAATGGTATGCGGCTGCAGACTGCTGGGTGACCATAACCCAGAGTGTGGGGACCCACTCACACCCCACTCACATCCCACTCGCACAGGCATCCACCCTGACCNTGAAATCCTTCAGGACACCTGACAGCAGCAGGCAAAAATGTGGAATATGCCAGAATGCCTCCAGTGGCAGTAGGTGTCTATCCTCAGGGAATGTAACTGAACCCTAAACAAGTGTGTGTTTTATGGAGTAAAAGTGTACAGCAAGGTTATAAAGTCATGGTTATTTCTGCGCATTTCTCCAGTGGTGACTTGGGAAGGGGCTGTTTAAACTACTGGCATGACCATGCATTGCAAGTATTGATCAAGAAAAATTTATTTACAGAGATTTTTCAAATACAAACATAAAATAGCACATATTATATATATATATWTTACAAAAATGAATATTGAAATMATAAACATGRTACMGCACAATACCACATCAATGAGCTAAACATAACAGCAACAGAAATCTATGTCTGGAAGAAGTTTGCTGTCAGTTGTACGTAACCAACAGAGCTCTGCAGTACTGTGAGTGGAGTTTYCAATGGACAGAAAAACGTCCATTTACTGCATTTCATAAAAGTACTATAGGAAGGGTACATATGCCAAGTAATTATGTTGCATTTTGTAATAAYGCTGAAAACACAGAGGCTTAATAAAAATTACATAGGGCTGAATAAGCAGTGGATAAATGTTTGGGGAAGAAAAATGTTTAGAGATTATACAAAATACTGATAAAGTGGTATTGGTCCTTTTAKTAAGTTTAATGTATAGATTAAAAAGTGTTGCAACACCGAGTCTTAAACCACCAGAGAGAAGTTAAAAAAGAAAAAGGGGGAGGGGAAGAAAAAAATAAAGGCAGAAAAAGAAGAATCGCACCAAAAAAGTTTCCTCTCTACTTATTTTGTGCCATGGTCAACATCTGTGTGTGTGCGTGTGTGCTTTCAGGTGTGCCGCGCCGAGGGGCTGCTGGGTGCTTCCCAGCACGGGGGCACTGCCGCCCCTCACCAGCCCACCCAGTAATTGGTGCATGCAGAATTTCACCATTTGCCAAAGCAGAGTTTTCCTTGCTTATATTTTTGTGGAGCAGACCCTGAGCAGGCTCGGGTGAGAGTGCCTGTCTCTGCCCAGCCCAGCCGGGTGGCTTCAAGCTGCCCTTCAGCCCCCTGCCACCCTGGGTCCACCTGTCATCCTGCTCCAGAGAGRAAGCACTTCAAAATTCCTTGTTCCGTTGTTGTTGTCCAGCAGACCCGGACGAGCTGGCACGGTGGTGCCTGGGCTGGCTCAGTAGGGGTACTGCTTCTGCTTCTTGCCCGAGAAGCAGGCCAGCCAGGTGCACACCAGCATGGCAGCCGCCGCACCGCCGCCCGTGCAGTAGTAGGCCCAGCCGATGTGGCAGGTCCCTGCAAGGTAAACAGCAGGACACGGGTCAGCGAGACACAGGGGCAAGGATGTGACAGCGCCGCCACCCTCCCTGCTACCCGCCCGGGAAAACACTGCTCTGAGATTTCGGCCCCCTTGTACGCCCACCTCAGATGGGGAACRTGGGGCATTGTTCASGCTCTGCAGCTGCAGYGATGGGGTTTGGAATGGKATGCGGCTGCAGACTGCTGGGTGACCATAACCCAGAGTGTGGGGACCCACTCACACCCCACTCACATCCCACTCGCACAGGCATCCACCCTGACCATCCACAAAGGAGCGCAGCATCGGGATCGCTTACATGGGGGCTGCTGTGGCAATGGAAGCATAGAGCCCAAAAATAAAATAAATAAACAAATTTCTTTATCTCCATCAGAGGTCACAAGTCATTGCTGAAAACTGCACTGATCTTCTGTCTAACGAGTATCACAATATGGCTTTGAATCCATTTAAAGGCCTCAGTATCTTTATACAGTCAAATTCATCATCAGTAAATGGTGCTGGGGAAGGCTATATTGGACCATAAAATTATTATTTCCCTTTCAGGTACTGTGCCTGCAGTAGGGGAGAAGATCAGGGAAACAGCAACTACAGCAGGGAGGAAGCCTCTTCAGAGATCTCCAAAAACAAGGAGATGCCTGCTGCTACTCAGCCAATTTTCACTTGGGCTGCATCATCTTTGTCTTTTTTGAGTGCTTGGGACTTGTTACCACTGAGGATCTCCCTGTGTTGTTGACACCTCGGGTGATATCACCCTGCTTTGAGCAGTGAGTGCTCTCAGTAAGGCACAACCAGCAGTACAACACTTGCTTCCCAGCATTCCCAAAAGCAGTATAAACCATTCTTCCTGAACAGAAGGTACCAAYAGTTTCCATCTAGGAATAGATGGTATGTTGATATTCAGTACCAATGGCATCCCTGAGGGCCAGGCTTCAGGTTCAGGCAATCATCAACTCAGCTAATCCTGCCTTAGGCACAAGAAACACAAAATGTCTGTTCATCTTCACATGTCCAAGGCACTCACATGCCTCAAGGCAGACAGCATTGCCACTGACTATCTGCAGAGATTGTCTGGCAGGCTTTGTAAGGAAATATTAGTGAGAAGCTACACTTATGTTCCTGGTCACTCTGGAGATCTCAGGCTGACACCACAGCAGGAAGCATAATACTTGTTTCATTTTTTTCTTCATAACCCTCACAATTTTTTATTAAAAAATATCCAATGAAACAAAGATCCTGATATGACTAAGAGGACTTGAGGAGCTGTGTGGCCTCAGCTTGAGATCACTAGCTTCTCTCCTTAATGTGCAGGAGCAGACAAAGAGATTTACTTGGTTTTGTCATGTAGTTGTGTTCTGTAGACAGCACCATTCTTGGCTTCCATACAGAAGACCACAAAGAGTCTGACTTTCTGAAGAGAAAGCCATCACAAAACCTGTAAAGTTGTCAAGTGCTTGGCAATGATGTCACCAATGCTGACACTTGCCCAATCACACAGCAGTTTCTCCCAGAGACCTGTCTCTGGGATGGATACCTATTCCTTTGCCTGTGTACACACCCYGTCCTTAGCTTCTGTTGGGAATTTCAAAAACAGACTTAAGCCTACACCAGATGTTTAAACCCACTGGATTGCTTTGAAAATGATCATGTTTATACCAGGGTAGGGTGTGCTACAGCATTTCTTGTGATAAGATGGACTCTATCTGGTAAATCTTTTAAAATGGTGAAATATTCCAAAAACTACTGGAGAACTGTAGTTGTAGCTTGAAAAAGTAAATTTTTCTCATCATGATTTTTCCAGATAGAGAAACTAAATGTCAAAATGCTATTTTAAAAACAGTTTAAAGATTCACCTGGTAGCACTGCCCAAAGCTGTTACCTAAGCAGGATAGAATGAAGTAAATATGACCTTTCGTATGGTGTGACTTCAACTTTTGTACCTTGGCAGTGGGAGTGAGTGTGTGTGATACATACTAAGAAGAAAGAACTGTTAAATCAGSGTCAGAGACGTGTTCAGCAGATACAACACACACATTCACTCTTGGCTGAAGAGAATAACATTTATTTCTCCATACCATGCTCCATTTACCCAAAGGACCACTGCCCTACTTAATGCTCTGAGGCACATCAGGCAGGCAGCCTCTTGATCTAACAAATGCAGTGTAGTTCACAAGAGTGAGCTGGGTCAAGATGAACAAATGAAAGAATGGGAGAGCAGGAGAATGGATGAAAGAGCCGGGAGCTTGACCTTAGAGCAATAATAACACAGCAATAAACCTGGCCATTATTTCCAACCCATGTCAAGAGCAATGGGAGGCTGCAGACAGAATAGCTCGATYTGTGCTTGGATGATGCTGAGCAGAACAGAATTTCAAGCTGTTGTGCTGAAGAAGAGCCTGCAGCAGGGCAGGTGTCTGAGGGTATAGGACTTAGCTGTACTTTTCATTGCAAGTATAGGTAAGTAAAGGTACAAGGCCAGAGATAATCCATCTSAAAAGCACCCATTGCAATGAATGCTTGCACTGCATAGCCACGTGTCAAAATGAAGCAATGCCACRCCTTTTACAATTCCATATTGCACAAGGAGGAAAACATTTTAGAGTTATTGTTTCCTCTTTGTTCTCATTTCACCACATGCATGACCTATTTTAGTCTACTGCATCCTAAAGAAAGGTTGTTGGTTATCAATAATTGGGTAATTTAGTTGCAGTTTAAATTGTAAAATTACTTCTGCTTCACATTGRTACAAAACACTCATTTTAGAAGAAACAGGAAGCTTTATACAAAGCAAACTTGAGAACTATTACTGCACTGACATCAGCAGGACTAGTCACATATTCAGTGGTAAGCAAATAGTGAAGAGATTTGAAGAACTGGGGCTTAATTTCGACCATGAAGTAGAGCAGTTTGCATTCATGGAGCCTGTCATATAAAAGATTAGAAATTCAGTGTTGCAGCTTCCCTTTTTTTAAATGTCAAAACTCTAAAATGAAAAGCAACACTGCCTAAATACTTGATAGAAATAAAGCAGTTATTGAAACCATGTCAATTTTCACATACACAAAAAGGCACAAAACCTTTTGTTTTCCTTAAGGATGCACTGGAACACACATGTATATACAAATGTTGAAGAGTGCCCATCCATTGAGGGTGTGGAGATGCAAGCAAGAATCTATACATGTTCTTGCTTCTAAGATGGGCTAGATTTAGTTTTGTGCCAAAATAAATTCCCAGCAGATGAAGTGCTCTTCTAGCTGATAGAGATGACATGCATTACAACAGCTTGCTTCTCTGCACAGAACTGGTGTTGCTTTTAACAAATCATTCTTTACCTGACAGGTCAGTATCGAGAGAAAAGATGTGGCTTCAGCACTTCAGCACTTCATTAATTCTAGATTTTTTAATTTTTTTTTAAGAGAACATAAACTTTTGGAGCTCTTGGTTGCTCAGTGAAGCAAGACTGTCCAAGTTGACTAAGGTAAATTTGTAACCAACCATTAAGAAATTTGTTTTCACTTTTAATTTTTTGAGATTGTCAGCAAGAGACTATCAGAATGAACAGTGAAATAACAGAATCATGGATCTTACAGCTATATGGATAGGTGATGATTTTCCAAGCAAATAAAGGAATGAAAGACTGGAAACATTGCATATTTTTTTAAGAAGATTGAGAAAAATCATGGTCCCTGAGGACACAGGACAAAAATTATGGTGAACAAGGACACTATCAAAAGAGGATTTACAGAAAAGAGTCCCATGSTCCTAAATCCATATTTACTAAATCAAAAGAAATCAGTAAATGTGAAAGGTAGTTTTGCAGAGATGAATGAACTTACTAGAAAGCACTTCCATACCTTTTCCTGATTTCTRATGTGATCCTCAAGACCATAATATCCATCCCCTTGTTCCCCTCCTCCTCTTGAATATATAGGCAAAGAAAGATTAAGAAAAATTTGGGAATGAGTAAAATTTGGCAACAGAAAATCTGCAGATACTTGATCTACCATGGAGCTGTGCCAGGATCCAGTTGCCAAAACATAATTTTTCCAGGATTTCTATTCATGATGCCTTATAAATAATTATCACATATAGTTATCGAGGTCTTGGAAATAACATATGGTTCCATCTAAAATAACCAATAATTGCCACATATCCTGAATATGAATTTGAAAGTGTCTTGGATGCAAACCTGTTAATTGCAAGACTTAGTGTCTTAAATATTTGTACCTTTTTAGCTGTTAATTTTAAGACTATCCTTGGACTTGCAGTCTGGAGTATTTGGCAAACTCTAATCAATTAACCTTAAATACAGCCTATTTTCTGAGTAGAAGAAGAAAAGGTTTTGGAATTAGACAGACTGTAGAGTACAAATTATATACCTTCAAAAATAAAACCTGCACTTCCTATTTCCAAGAAGTTGTGCAGGAATTCTAATTAACAGGTTCGCATGAGAGTACATTACTGTAGAGAATGTGAATTCATATAATCAATCAGGATGCTGGAAAAGCAATCAGAAAAAAATAAAGAGTGTGATGCTAAGGGATATACAGGGATTTGGAAATATGAAAAACATAAATGAATGTAGAAGATAATCAGCAAATTAATAAGAAGGCAAAATTATTTTGAAACAAAGCCAAGATAAATTAAATAGCTGAAGATCTTTTTCTTGACACAGCAACAATGAAAAACTGTCATGTGAAGYCAGCTGCAAAAGCAGGAAAAGAAAATTGGAAAGCATCCAGAAAGAATTAAAGTTGTTAGGTGAAACAAAGAAAGAACACTATATAAGGTAAAACTGCAGCCCAGCTTGATACAAAATAATAAATTCAGTGGAGCTGGTTAATTTTTCTGTTGCTGAGATATGACTTTCTCAATGGATTTATCTTGTGAAAAAATACACTTTTTTTAAATGCATGTATAGTTTCCTATTTTGGTTACCTAGAATTGGTCTGTAACTAAATACATAAAATTTCATGAAGTT